AAGTCGATCTGTTTGGAGACAGGGACCCAGTAGTCTGGAAAGGATTGGGATGATGGACATGCAGAATTTGATGCATGTGAGGATATGGAGGCATTTGTATCAGTTGGACTTGTGGATTGTGGAACAGGAGAGACCAGCATGGTACTATATCAAATTGCCTTCCACTGGTGCTTCGGGAGATAAAAATAAATTAATAACAAATGATTTTAATGTTTGAAAAAATGTTGCAAATCATATGAGATAATAAAATAATTAAAACACTGGTTTAATTAGCTTCCTCAAAATGAGCAATAGGTCTTCAAACATTTTGCTTATGTCTCGATAAGTACCCTGGAATACAGTTTTTAAAAACTGCGGTGATTTGGAATATGAAAGGCCTGCGAGTAAAGCTTTTTTTCCAAAAGCATGAAACAGGGTTTTAAGGGCACATTTTAATGATATTTTCAGTCCAGTCAATAAAATGCTCCTTAATTAAGCAACAGAATGAGTTTACGAAATTGCATTTCTCTGTCTCTCCCCCCAACACCCCAACTACAACAACAACAGCTTGCACTTATATATAAATGTAATTTTGTTGTTGTATAGCGCCCTCTATGCAGGATAGCATCTCAGAGCGGTCAACTAAGGTTAAGGTCAGTGTTTGTAGGGCTTTTAAGATATAGTATTCCTTTGGTGGATGAAAAACGAGGATGCAGTCCTTCTAGAATCAAAAATGAAGCTTCAAAAAATACCTGGATTCTGAATTTCCTTAAATATTTTCATTGCAATAATCCCTTCAAAAATAATAATTTGGTACCTCAATCATGACCGTTTGTGGGACACTGCTGTGCGCAATTAACTGTAGTGCTTTGCCCACAAAATATACAGTCAATTCACTTTACAGTATATTCTGTGAAGCGTTTTGAGACGTCTCGAAAATGTGATAAGGTGCTATATCAAATGCAAGTATTATTTATTCCTGTTACCTCATATTTATTGTACCATTAACATGTTTAAGCTTTAAACATCCAAAATTTTAAAGAGGGAATACTATATATAAATAGCTTGAATTTGACATGTTAATAAATGGATAAAAAGATTATAGCACTGAACTATGCGGTTGCTGCTACATTTTAATATATTCCATAACTAATACAAGACGATTTAGTAATCAGTTCAACATTCAAAACAAAGATCCTATTTTGTTAGTGAATTGGATGCTGCATGTTCCTTGTCTTTGGTCAAGTGGAGGTAGAGAAAGGAGGAGACACATAACAATTTTTTTCTCTAGAAAGGTCTTCCATATTCCACAAAAATATGGTAAGTCCAAAGATGTAGTAAAGCAATTTCCAGATTGATTTTTTCAGTTAAGTACTTTAATCTTTTCGTTTTTTAAGACAACTTAAGATCATGGTTACGGTTTGTCAAAGGTTAACCCCACTTCATTCAAAAAATACTTAGATCAAAAATGCCTACTTCTTTGCTGGACTAGATTTCTGCCATCAATCTCAAGTGGAAAAAAAATTCTGGGCTGGGGAGAGCACAAATTTCACTGCATATTTGCCACATCAAGCTCTAGAAAATTAACTATTAAACCAAAAGCATGGTTACCATACTCTATGGGGCGATACAAAGTTAAAAACAAAAATGTATTAGTCAAAAATGTCAGTGATGAAAGTAGGAGCCAGCACTCAGCCAGTTTGGAGGATAGAAGAAGGAGAAGAAAGAGGATAACTTGCCACCCTGTCACTGTTTAGTGAATTAGTCTATGTTAAGTGTGAATCTTGCAACCTTAGGTTCCCACCAACACAGCAAATTGTAGCGATAATTTAGACAGCGTTAATTTACTGCTGTGTTAAATTATTGAATGCAGTAAACTTTTCCCCGGAGATTGGAAAAGAAGCAGCGAGTAAGAAAAAACGTTACAATACAGATAGTACAGAGAGCAAGTCAGAGAATGAGAGAGGGATCCATCACTTGCTTTTCTGAGAAAAAATGGACAAATATTAAAATCACCAGTGAAGTTATTTCAGGAATGAATCCTGTAAGATATGCATTGAATCTACTTGACTGAAAACACACAACAGGTTAAACATATTTTTAGCCAATAATTGAGCAGCAATATCAATCACAAGACTTAACCCATTTGATGTAATCATTCCAGATTACCAACCATGAAGCATCAAGGTGTTTCTTGACAAAAGTGTCCCGACTTTAACCACCTTACCTGGTAACCCAATGATTACCCTCTGTGGAAAAAAATACATCCTGACATCTATCCTAAAATGTGTCCTTAAGACTCCAGCCTGTTTGATCTTTTTCTTCTGCCTTGGCATTAAAATGTTATTCTGGGTTTATTTTTATCCTATTTAACATTTCATATCCCTGCTGGACATCTTTTTCCAATAGCCTGAGCTAAGTTAGTGGTTTCTTATAGCTTATCCGTTCACCATTGGGGATCCATTTGTTGCGCTCTTCTGCACGACCTTTTGAGTCTTGCAGCCCCCTTAATGCTGCAATGACCAGAACAGTATACAGTAATCAAGGTACAGCCTGAGCAGATTAGTGTACAGTTTGAATGTGAGGTCTGGGGATCTGAACTCAACTGATTCAGCAATATAACTCACCATCCTGTTTATGTTGCTCATTGCTGCCTTAAACTGGTTCAAAATGGTGAGCACCAAGTGAACTAATATGAACAAGCCAACTGCATTAAAAAGGAAATTATTTTAAGTGGTGTTCAGATGATGTCTTCTTGGATTATGTTGATTGAGGGATTTTGAGGAACAGTGAGTGATATACAGATCTTTAAAGATGGTAAAATGATAAAAAGGCAGATGGGATACTAGGTTTTATATTTAGAAGCACTGAATAAAAAAGCATGGAAGTGATGATAACTATTTACAAACATTAGTCGTACTGCATGTAGCTCCGGGTACCATATTACAGAAAGCACATCAGAGCCATGGAAATGATTCAGCATTGATTCACATGGATGATACTAGGGATAAAAAAATTACTAGGCATNAAAAAACTGGATTTGTTTTCACTGGAACAGAGAATGTTAAGAGGCTATCTAATACAGGTCTTAAAATTGTGAAAGAGTTTGAGAGGATAAAATGTGAAATTCATGTGAAAAACAAAGTCATTCTGCCTAATTTTCTCTGGTGGATTTTAGGAAAACCTTTTTTTTGTTCAACAAATCTAACCTAAGAATTTGATACTCCTCTATGTTTCCTGAATACCTTTGACCCTTGTAAGTAATGTTGATTACCTTCACTTCCTGGTTCATCTTTTCCTCTACAATCCCTAGAGGAATTGAAACTGTAGAAAATCAAGATGGTTGCCAAGCTGTGTGGATAGGTCCTCCCACCACACTGAAGGCTAACATCCATCGAATTGATAAGGAATAATAATCTTTGCATTTGATATAGCACCTTATCGAGACGTTTCAAAGCGCTTCACAGAATAAACTGTAAAATGAAATGACTGTAGAATCTCTGAAGCTTGGCACAACAGCTGCTGGAAGGCATTACCTGGAGTATGAGTTTGTGAACATGTGCTCATATATCCAGAGATTGATATCCACCTTGATTAGTAAGCGGGGAAAAGAGCAGCTGCTGCTCAAACTCCACATTTTCAACTGGTAGAACCATTGCTCAATGGGTAACGATGTGTGTCCGAGCTATGGGTTTGTCAGGAACTTCAGAATCAAGTCAACCTTCTGTGGCAGTCTTGGTAATCTGGTTCCTGAGCACGGCAGATGGTTGCAATGCTCTCATGTAATTCATGACAAGCTGTGCTGATCACCAGAATTAGGTCAACCAGGGCATGACACTTCAGGTACTGAGCTGACTCCACTGTAATGTGCTTAGCAAAGGAATAGTCCTGATTATCCAGCTCATGACTACTCAATGTATGCTTTCGGAAGTCAAATGACCAGCTAGTGACTTTTTCTGGGGAGGTATGCAGGAACTCCTTAGGGCTGAGCTGCCTCCAAGGTAATGTGCTTGGCAAAAGAATATCAACATTAAGTCAAACCTCTGGGTAGTCTCTGTAGTCTGGATCTTGAACCCAGCAGGTCCGTAGAATTCCTAAGCAGAGACCAGTCCTGCTGCAAGTCAAAGTCCTAATGGGTACATTGATAGGAAGTGGGAATCTGATACCAGATAGTGCTCTTAATGTAAAGCTATGAGGGTTTAGCTAGTTAAACTCCATCAGTATTACCCTAATGCACACTCTGGTGTTCCCAAGGCTTGGCTCTTGCTTACGTGTACTTAATATGCTCCAGAGTTAGATAAACAGGGTATGACCCTCCGTGGAGAACGTGCACATTCAATTCCAGACACAGGGAAATTTCTGTGCATGGGTTTCATTTATATGTTGGATTCTCAGTCTGGTTTGAAGACTATTAAGCATAGTAATTGGTTTCTGGATATGTCAGATACCTGGCTGACCAAGAAAAAGATTCCTTTGACATAGTAATTATAGGTTGCTACCAATTATTTTAATTATCCATTCAATTATTTAAAATACTGGCTTTTATAAAAATGCATCAAATTATGACTTTGCCTTCTTCTTTGCCTGTCCTTTGTCTTCCTTTGCTCTTTCTGCTGCTGGTTTAATTGCCCTCTCAACTCTCAGCTAAAAATATATTTAAATGTACCCTCATTTACTGCATTTATTTTCAGTGCCAACAATTAAGTTCTGCATCTAGTTATGCACAGATTATCCTATAAAAATCCATTCTTCTTAAAGCAGTTTCTCAGTGGTCTACAAATTACTTCCAATACATGATGTAGGCATATTTACTACAAATCAAATTAGCCACACTAGGAAGGCTTGGCCATTATGTATCATTCATTAAAGTAGCAAATCTAGATTTGCACAGAGAATGGCATCAAGGTTACATCAAAAGAAACAATACACTTAGCAAACAGCACTTTGCATTTTAGTATTTTTTTCCAGAGACTGAACGAAAAGTTTAACATACAGATTACATGTTGGTGATGTCAGTTTACCTGTAATACACTGAAGCTGGCCATCCTCTCTTCTGATGGTAAATGTCTCACCTGGGTTGACTTGAACTAAAATAACCTGTAATAACAATAAAATATTATCTTTCTTAAAATTCTTCAGTCAACTAAAATATATTTTAAGTATGAATACTTTCTTAAACAACAAAATGCAATACAATTTAATCATCAATAATGTTTCAGGCACTTTCACTTCAAAATACTAATACATTATATTATATACCATATATTATATATTAATACATCCTACAAAAGAACTGGTACCTTTAGTGAATACCTCCACAGAAGCAAAATAATCTTGTCAAAATAAGAAACAGAGACATTTTATTTTCCAGTATTAGTGAAAAAAAGGTAACTAATGTAATTTGAATGTTACAATAATAATCCTTGCATTCGATGTAGCGCTTTATCATGTCTTCAAAACATCTCAAAGCGCTTCACAGAAAATACTGTAAAGTGAATTGACTGTATATTTTGTGGGCGGAATGTGAAACATTACAATATGCTGCCAAGTTTACAAACACCCATCAATTTATGTTTGAGTAATCCAAATGTTTTCTTCAGTTCTTAAGGTTCAGGAAAATTCTTTACATTACCTAATTATTACATTATTATCAGTGAGGTTACTGCGTTAACATAGGTATCTGGCATCCTGTGTGTAATATAGAAACATGGGAGTGAACAGCACCAGAAAAGACTGATGACTTTTCCCAATGTTTAAAAAATAAGACACTACTTTATCTCATACACTTCTCAATTCAATTCTTCGTCAAATAAGTGTCATTCAGCCAGACAAGTTTGTTTTACCAGTTCATTAGATCATAACAGATTTTTAATCCCATCTTTCCTCCTTAAAACCTTGAATGTATTTCCCTTTTGAACATCCCAACTGATTCTTCCTATGTCACTTTCTGTCACTTTCACTCTGTCATGTTGTCACTCTGTCACTTTCAAGTGGGACTTCCTCCCGACGTGAAAGGCGCTTTACAAATGTAATTTTCTTGGTGTTGTGGAAGATTGCAAGTCCACGTTCTCACAACCCTCTATGCAAAGAAACATACTTGTGATAGCTTTAATTTTAAGATTTTATTTAGGGTTCTTCTACCAGAGGAAAGAGTGGTCAACTATTTAACTTGTCAATTCCCTTCATATTTTAAATGTTTCAATCAGATCATCCCTTAACTTTCTCAGTTCTAATGAATATATCCAAGGTCTATCATCTTATCTAAGTTTCTCCATCCCAGGTATGAATGGTTACTGAACATTCTTCAATGTTAGTATAACCTCATAGGGCTATACTAACTTGCCTAAAATTGAACACAACTGAGGTGTTTGAAACACAAACCACAGCTCTAAAGCACAATATCATGAGAGGTTCAGAAGAATACACATCTCAACTTCCTTTTACAGTTAGAATTTGCTTTTTAAAAGTCCAGCATACTGGTTACCACCAGCACTCCTGCTAAAGACTTCCAATCATATGTAATTTAACACCATATGGCATCACAAATAACTCTTTAGGGTCTACTCTGAAATGTCTCTTTTTAAGGATGAAAATCTACTTACAGATGACACCAGGTGGGAACTGTTGAATCACAAGGCTGCAAAGGTCTTAGAAAGAGTTTGAGTCACTTTTCTTATATAACTGGAACAGCATTTCACACGTCTTTTGAAAATCCATAAACACAACCACTTCATTCTCTCTATCAATACTTTCAGTTATCTCTTCAATAAACTACTACATTTGTGAAGCAAGTCTTGCCTGTTACAAATCCACGCGATCCATCATTTATTAACCCATGCCTCTCTGGTTCCACTCTGGAATTCCACCCCAGAGTCCCTTTGACTTGCCGCTTCCCTCGCCTCCTTCAAGGTCCACTTCAAGACCTTCCTCTTTAACCACTCTTTCAGCCATTTCCCCCCTTCACTCTCTTGTCCCCCAACCACTCATCCCCATCCCCTCAACCCCCATTCCCAGTTTGGGAACAAATTCTGCTCCAACCAGACATCTGGTTGGGACATCTTCCTGACATAAAAGTTGCTAAATAAATGCAATTTTTTTATTGTATTGTATTGTGATTACTAATTGTATCGCAAACTATTATATGAAAAGGCTGAATGGTCAACAGGTGCTTGGGTTAACCCATTTTCTCTTCTTGAACAGAGGTATTATACTGGCAACTTTCCAAGCCTCAAGTACAACTTCATATCCAAAGATGGTGGTCAGAGACCCTGCCATTTCCTCCCATGAGTATCCCAAATTCCTCCCCTATGTTGGGTCCTGAAACTACTACAATTTAGTTTTTATTTCTAACTAGCTGTACCCAAGGCAGCTACGCTTGCAACCAGTTTCATTTAATCGGCCTTCTCTCTTTCGTCTGGCATTTTTATTTGTCCTTGAAGGGCTTGATCTTCACTTCTTAGGCATCTCTTATCCCTTAGGATTAAGAACATGTGCTGTTGAACACGTTAGCATCCCTTGTTCACATATTTGCACACATATCCTTTGGGGAGGACTCCTGTTGGTGTCTCTACACCAATCAGTTAGACAGACATACAGACAGACCTTTTATCTTTATTAGTATAGATGTATCTCTCAAGAAGGGTGTGTGACCTGTCACTACTTTGTTGCAGAATACCACGCATAGCTACTTTGTTGCAGAATACAATGCATACCCTTTTAAAGCATATTTTTATATATTTTGTAATATAGCTCACCAAAAAATGCCCGTGACACTCCCCCATGCAACACCTTTCCGATGAGGTATAAATCATGTCTTTACCTCAATCGGTTATTGTGTTCTTAGTAAATAGACAGAGATTTTGTCTTTATTAGTATAGAAGATATTCATTCTTCTTCTCTAATCTAACCAAGTTATTTTGTCCACATTAAAACTGGATTTACCACTTGTCAGTTTAGTTCCTTAACCTGGATAGATCTCTGTATTAGTCAGCTTGTGCTTGGTTGCTTGCACCACCCTCAGTTTTGTACTACAGTATCAGAATACCATAGCTTGATTTTTTGTCTCCAAGTCCAAATCATTTATGTACAACATAAATAATATTTCTCTAGCATGGATTTTTGAGGCACCCTACTGGTTGCTTCCTTCTATACCAATGCAGTTCCATGTACAATTACCCATTACATTCTATAACCAATTTCCGAGTAAACGTCAAAAAGCTTCTCCGTGTCTTTCATATTCTGGGCTTTTCAACCTTGTGAATCAACTGCTTGAGTGCTTCTGTGGTAAAATCTTTGCTAAACTGAGCAGCAGATTAAAAATCCAATGGTATACACAAGTGTTGAAGGATTAGGCTTTTCAAGACCAAGCATGCCTAGTACATATCGCAATATTTGAAGAAATGCTACAAATATCATCGGCGGTAAACAAGGTACAAAATACAAAAGAATTATATGGTTCACAGTTTCATCAAAGAGCTGATTTTAGCTTTGATTGTTTGGAGAACAGATAGAGAGTGAAGTGGTTTGCCATAAAACATATAAATGACAAAAGATATTTTAAAATGAATAATCCTTGCATTTTCTAAAATGTCTGTATCGGCAAAACAATCTCAGAATGTTTCTCAGAAGTGGTGACAATTAAGTTTTTACTGATTGGATGGCAGGCCTTCAGCCTTGGCAACCCAATCAGTACAAACGTAATGTTTGGCCTCAGCGGATTAATGCTCAAAACAAATATTGAGCAACAAAAAAAGGTAAAAGGGCTATAGTCCATCCTCGCTTCAAAATGACGTTGATTCAATTTGGAAGAAGGGGTAAAAATTCCGTCTGGGCTTAGATTTATTAAATTTTCTTGGCATTTCGGAGTGTCCAGCGTTTGATTGCTCTTAAAGATAGTCTCAATTTTGAAGCTGGCTTCATTCTTTTAAGATCATCAGAAAACCAGTGTCAAAGTTAAGACTAAATTCAACAATTTGTCAAATTATGTATGCTCTGAAACAGAGCCCAATACAGAATTGTAAAAAATAAGTTGTTTTGTGGTCAGACAGATATCTGACCAATGCAGAAACTCAGCACTATGCTTAAGAGTATCCAAACCAAACAGAGTTCCACATATTTATTCCACCTACACAAGGAATCTTCCCTTTGTCCAGAATAGAATACACACTCTCTCCCCAGAGGGACACATCCTACTTAGCTAATTCTGTGGAGTATTAGGTACAGGTCAGCAACAGCAAAGGCTTAGGTTCCCAAGAGTATATGTGGGGATACTGCTGCTGTTTAACCAGATAAAGCTGCATAGTTTGCCATGGAAAGCACTGTTTAGCAAGCTTCCCGCTGTTTGTCCAGCTAAAACCACCAAACCTGTTAAGGCTTTGGCTTTCAGGATTTGTCATCAGCATTGCTCTGGAGTGCCATCACGGATTGTGATGATATGTGATCCATAAAGAAGCCTAGACTATGAGTTCACAGTCCTGATGTAGGTCTTGAACTCACAACCTTCTTATTCAGAAGTGAGATGCCACCATTTAAGCCAGGCTAACAGGATACCAGATACAAAAATACTATCTGTTTAAAGAAAAGCTGGCTGCATTGGGGCTTTTCCAGTATAGCAGACAAAAATTGCAAATAAATATGATATTGATTGTTTAAGGTTCATAATAAGATAAAAAGAGTAAGACAATTTCATTCAATTTAGGAATGGTGGCAAGAGGACATAGTGTCCGGATTGTTAACAAAAAAATTAGGGGAGAGGTTAGCAAGTTTCTTCACTCACAGAGTTATTATTGTTTGCTGTTCATTACAGTAATAGGATGTTAAGCCTGGATCAATAGAATCATTCAACAAAAAGAAATGGATAAGCATTTGGATAATAAAACATTAAGCGATATGGGGAAAGAGCTAGAAAGAGGGCCATCTACAACATCTGTCATCCTCTCCTCAAATCATCCAAAATGTTGGGTAAAGTATAGAAGATAGAAAGTCGGTGTTCTCTTTAATGAATACTTCCAAAAATATTCATGTAATAGTTTACTATTTTATGTTCCTTTTCAGTTACCACACTATTTGTAACCAAAACGCTAAATACTGCAGATGGT